TTTGGTTCAAGTTTATTAATTTTATCAAAAACATGTCTTTTTGATCTTGTAAAATGTACAATAGTTATTTGATTATCATTATAAGTGCAAAGAATATAATTTTTAGTGATTATCACTGTAAATATAGATAGTAATTAAAGTTTCTTAATAAATAGTTTCTTAATTATAATTTTAAAATAATTTTAATATTAAAATTATATATATATAAAATTTAAAAATTATATAAATAATTTCTTAATTATATAAATATAAATATATATAAATATATTAATTATATATAAAAATAAATGATTACCATCTGATATATGATCCAATAATTTTCCTATAAGATATTTATCAAAAGTTATTTTACAAATGTCACCAGTGTCTATATTAGCTTGTATTTGTATTAATAATGCATTATTTAACATTAATTGTAAAGTACAATCATTATACCATTGACAATATACAATTGAATTATCCTTTAATTGTTCCTACAAAAATCAATTCAATGTAAGATTATAAAACAATATATATTTTTTAGTATTTAATTGCAATTTTACCTCTAGATATTTAATAGAATCTTTCAATTTATTTCCTTTTTTATTTGTTGGGACATATATCATACCACGTTTCTGACAATAAGATTTTTTTCCTTCTTCATGTATATGATCAATACGTTTATCGTGATATCTAAAATAATAATATGAGATTTGCTTTTATTATAATAATAATAAAGATAATTATAAATAATAATAATAAAAATTATTATATAATTATATAAATATGGATAAAATTATTATCTTATAATAAAAATATTTTATAATATTATATTTTCTATTTAATTTTATTAATATATTTAATTATTAACATAATTTATAATACAAATAAATTAATCTATTTTACCGAAATGCACCAAAATCTGTACTCTTTATATTGATATTATCGTCGAAAGTCCATAAGTTTACTTCTCCTAACAATGTAAACATTATAAAATACTACAATTCTAAAACCATTGAATATTCATATCAAAGTATTCACAAAGAAACGTCACGTTAAGCTTAAAAGAATTAAATTGAATTATATTAGAATTAAATATAATAATATTTAACATAAAAAAAATTAATATTTTATTTACGATTATTGGGACTTGTTCTTCACCATTTTATTACAGAATACTATATTATCGGTATATCATTTCGATTATAATTATAAAGTTAACTATAATATTGTTATATAAATTGTTATATATGATAGTGTTACACGAAATTGAAACATTTTAATTATTAATGAAATAAATTTAAATATCATGATAACAATAATAGTTCAAAAATCACAATTATAAACGAATTTTTTAAATTGTTTTTTTTATAAAATATCATTTAAAGCATTTTTTAATATCTAAATCTTAAAAATTTTTTTTATAGATTTCGATAAAAATAAAATATATTCTAAAATATTTATATAAATATATTTCAAATATTTATATATTTAATAGAATATTCATTTAAAAAATAAAATTTTAATTTTAAAATTTATATATTTAATATATTTTATTTTTTAAATCAAAAATATTTGAATACAGTTTTATTTATTTAAATTTTATAAATATTTTTAAGAAAATCTTCAAGGTAAGTGACCTAACAATATAAATTTAGAATAAGAAAGAAAAAGCAAAAGTAAAAAAGGATTAATATATAGGTTATTAATTTGAAATAAATAAAAACTTAAAATATTTACCTTTTTCATTAAAAAATTTAAATTTCTTTCTTTCATTGAAAATATTTTTAAGTTTAAAACGATATACATATAGTACTTACATATATCTTAATCAATTGAGGATCTTATTAATGTAATCATAATAATCGTTTGTTATTTTCAAAATTTAAAATCGAATATAAAATTAAAAAGAAAATACATGATATTAATAATTTTTTACTGCTATATTAATATAAAAATATATAAAAATTGAAAAACTGAAACTGAATCGAATTATTAGTTATTAGTATTATTAATAATTTCTTTTTTGTAATTGCTAATACAAGTGATATGTAAACCGATAAACCATCCAATAAACCGTGCGAATATACCATATGTCACATGTCTCATAATAATACTTCGATTCATATAGTGTGCATATGATTGCAACCGTTTACATCACGTAAGTACTTGTATTACATTTTGTATTCTCAGGATAACTTTTATTATCTGAATATCTTAATTAAGATTATGTGTATATATATATATATATGCATGCTAATATTTAAACTGTTGTACAATTTTCTTAGATATATATATATATATATATTATTTAATGACATTTTTAAATATCTTACGGAACTCTTATGTAATTTATATTGTATTGAATATATATATATTTTTATTGAAAAATCTAATATAAGTTTAAATTGTTTAAACTTAATATTTTTATATATGTTTTGATCTCTACAATCAATTTTTCAAAATTATTACATAAATATTTTTATATATCAAAAAAGTCGATTTCATTTAATAGATTAGAAATATTCATACGTATTTAAAATATACTATTATTATATTATTATATATATAAAAATTAAAAATTACAAAATAGTAATAAAATTCATTTCCATTAATGATACTTATTATAGATTACTATAATAAACGAAACGATAATGAAAAAAGCATATTATCCTTATTCGAAACAAAAAATTTGTTGAGGTTAAATTTAAAAAATTTTTAATATTTTATAAATGTCAAATAATAATATAAGTTATTAAAATTATATAAGTTTAAAAAAGTTAAAGTTATATAAATTAAAATAATATAAGTTATTTCATTAGCAAACAAAGATATTCTATATACATATAAACAAAATTTTTTTCTTCAAATTATTTTAAATTAATGTAATGTGATAGATTTAATTATTAAAATAAAGATATTATCTTAATTAAAACAAATTATTTTTTGTTTTGAATGAAATGTATTAGAAACAATACTATACATATATACATATTATTTTCTGCGAGTTTCGATTTATCGAAGAATTGTATAATGAATAAGCTTTTCATTATCGATTTACCGAAGAAACTGTATAATGAATAAACTTTCGTATGTGATGAAACTTGTTTCGATTCCGCTAATTAAACTTTCTAGAATTGACTATTCTTAGTTACTATGGATTTATATATAGTTTTAATTGTATTTATTTTGTACATTCATTGGAATATATCTACATACTTGATTTTGGTTATAATCACATTCGTAAGACCTTATAATCATTTAATATTTTATAAAATATATAAAAAATATTTCTATAATTATAATTACTATATATATATATATATATATATAGATCTAATCTATCTATAATTTTTTCTAAAATTAATTTAATTATAAATTAATTTTTTTCAATTTGAAATATAAATTCAATTATCAAATCTTAATTTGAAAGTGAATTCTTTGCATTTCTATCAATTTTACTTTGAAACGAAAAATATTGATATATTGAACGCAAAAAAAAAAATGTACAATATCAACAATTTTTTCAATGGAAATAGATTTTTTTCAGTTGAGTTATACGATATACGAAACAATACAATTTTATTTTGCAAGAGAAAAGAAAGAAAAAATAATCAAACAGAAGTTACACTTGTTTATGCATCGCATTCTAAACTTTAAATGATTTTGAAAATAAAAAATATTTATGTCAAGGCATAAAATCATATCAATATCAATGGCAAAGAGATTGAAAAAATTTTAGCTTTTTTTTTTTACAACAGATTTATATTTGTCAAAAAAATATTTTTTATTTTTTTTAATAAATTTTTTTTTAAAAATAAATTACATTTATAGAATAAACATCAAGATTAATGATCAGATGTGCACTTTGCATTTTTTTTCTTGTTGATGATAAACGGGATTAGTGACCTAACGATAAGCTTGATTATAAAAATTATATTTAACTTCATAGTATATCAGCTAAATTATATACTTCTTTACTCAGGTATTTTCAAAATGCACTTTTTATGCAAGAATAAATTTTAAAATTATTAAAAGAAAAAAAGATTATATTTTTCAATAATAAATAGCATAATCGAAGATTTTAAATATAAAAATATTTTTAATTATTTAGAAATTAAATATTGTTTAATAAATTAAATTTTAAATAATTAATAAATGGAAAGGATTTATAATATCTTTTAGAAAATTTATTCTTTATTTATAAGTAATCTAAAAGTATAATTATTTCTTCAATATATTCTATTATCTTGTAAAGAAATAATGTAAAATATCTTTAAAAGTAAGTACAATTCTATGAATTTGCAGATAAACATTACAGAAATAGTATATAGAAATATAAATATATACTATAAATACATATCTTACAAAGTAAAATCTGAATCTAATCAAAAGATTTACAACCATTTAGTTAACTTTAATACAATAACTTTAATACACAATTTAATACAAATTTAGAATAAAATGAAAGAGTTGAACATTTTCATTTTTTTGAAAAGTTTCATCAAAAGTTCTGTAGAAAATTGCAAATATAAAAATATATTATTAAAACAATCAAATTAACTTTTAGATTTTTTTATCTGCAAATATTTTTGACAAAATTTATATTGATTTTTATTCAGATAGAAATATAATTGTGTGTATATATATATATATATATAATTATTTTCATTATACTATTTCAATTTTAATCATTTTAAATTATATTGTAATAACAATCTATTATATTAAAGCAACACGATTATGAATATTTACATACGTATTATAAGTATACAAAGTACGTGTAATGAAACTCGGTCTGACAAACGAGTTAAATGCCTCTCAAACTTACATCTCTTTCAACAAGTTTTATCAACTTGCATTTACAATGTATATATCAACACCCTGTACATGACCGGTATCATACACCACCCACAGTATCTGCGTAGTCAGCATGCTCGACCCGACAATGTTCGGCTGCGCCACTCTGGTTTCCGCTCCCGTAAAAGAAGGACCTCGTAACGTCTCCTTCGTTCATTTACAACCACCTGCTCATCGAGAAAGCATCGGGATTCTTTTAGTTTATCCATCAGTTGCCTATTACTCGTAAGGAACGGGTGCAAGAAGAACCAGAATGAAGAACAATGCGACTTCCGGTCTTCCACTATCTGTCTGTGCGTCCATTTGCGCGCTAATAATCCTGATTTCCTTCACCGATAATTCTTATGCTAAACGTGAGTAATATTTTTATTTTATTTAATTTTCAATATTATTCAAATTTATTTATTTACTTTTTTTTGGAAAATATATTTTTAGTAAAAAACCAAACCTGTTAATATTATTATTAATTATTTTAAAACAAAATTTTTCCGATAATAATTATTCTTAAAATTTATTTTTTCGTGTTGAAAAGATAAATTTTCTTAATAATATTTTTGGATGTATTGTATTATTATTTTTTAACAAAGACACAAATAAATTTATCTTTGTATGGGAAAACTAGTCACGCAATAAAATACTTTAGAACATGCAATTTCGAGATTCACTTTCGAATAATAGAATTTTGCAATTGTTAACGAATAAATATTTATTTCGCTTGAAATTGATTTAATATTATTAATATGAGTTTTCGAAGAATAAGAATATGTGAAGTAAAATATTTTGATAAAAATTTTGATGTATAATATTATTAATATTATTTTACTATTACATAACATATTACATAAATAATTAAAAAATATTAAAAGATTAAAATTAATTTATTTGAGCCTTATTTTTTCTATAATATTATTAAGATTCAAGATAACAAGTTTAAAATTTTTTATTTTTACGTAGAATAACACATTACAATTAAAACTTCATTTTCACAACAAGTTTATAAAAGTATTATTTATTATCTATAAGTATTGTATTTTTAAATTAATAGAAACATAAAATTATATATTATTCTTCGAAATATTATTATTGCAATTTAATGCATCTTTTTATATTTTATTATTAGTTAGATAAAAGTGAAAATAAAATTTTACAAAGTCATTACTAAAAGCAATTTATATTAAGAAGAATTTTATTTGCTTTATATATATTAGCTTTATATATATATTAAAAAAATAAATATGATATAATTTATAATATATTTTAATAAAAATGATTTTTTTTATATAATATATAAAAATATATAAAGATTATTTTATACATCTATATTCTTTATTAACATAATATCAAAATATTAAATAATTTAAGATATTATCAATTCAAAGTTATATTCAAATAACTTTCTTTAATGATTTTTAAATGAGGATATCTGAAAAGTTTTGTAGAAACTTTATTATTAAAAATCGATTTTAAACAAAACTTTTTTAACAAAATTATATATTAAAAGTTATTTATTTCAAAGTAGCACAAACAAAATAATGACAAACTCAAAAATATCAATCAAGTTATTAATTCTTATTATACTATTCCCACCATTCCATTATCATTCCATTTTTGCAATATCTTCCTGTCATAATCAATTTTCTAGCTTTTACATAGATCATAATTAGACATTCGCGAACATTTCCATAATCCAATTTGTTCCAGTCAAAGCTTAATGAAGATACTCATGATTCAATGTATTGTACAACTGTTGATCCCTGCAAAGAATCATGGCGCCCGTTTAGCGAGCAAAAACCGATAAAAATCGTATTTTCAACAATTACTTTTGAAAAAACGAATTCTTAAATAATAAAATTTAAGAATTTTTCATTTCTTTCATTTTGATTTGCACGTAAAATCATTCTGATAATACAATGATAATGAAGTTGGTTAACTAAAATTAGAAACTTCTATTAGAATTTTGTATTGCTGAATATTATTCCTATTGGAAATTTATGATAATGTATTATCTATATTTCAAAAAAATTCTAGAAATGGTTTTGCAGAATAACTTTTAATTCTGTCTTTGTATTAACTTTTGAAGGAAAGACATTTTGATGCCAATAATGACATCAAAAGTAATATAATTCTAAATTTCATAAAACAATTTGCAAAATTACTTTAAAGAATAGATAAGATCAATATATAGTTTTTCAAAAGAAGTATTTTGAAGATAATCATAATGATATTCAGCAAATAAACAAGTAAAATAATAATTTTATCGCGATCAGTTTTAGTTTTGTCAACTTTATTGCCAGATCTCATGTATCAAATGAAAAAAAGGTGCATAGTATTCGTGAAACCTTTGATATTCCTTCCTTGCAGGAGATAGGGAACTTGATTTAAGAAAAACTTCATTCTATGTCGCGTGTGATCTCTAAGAGCAATCGAATGAATAATTCTCGGCTGTTCAGTGCAACCTGAACTTAAATTAGTTCCATCGTGATGGCAAACAAAGATTATCCACTCAATGTTACGCATTAATCCGAATGTTTGATTATAAATGAATGAATGAGATATCGAAAAGAAAGAATGTGTGTATAAAGTTATGTGGGTGAGAATAGTAAAAAAATCAACGAGGGAAATCAGAAATGTGATTGATTTTTAAATTTTCAGAAAGTATTTGTTGAAAGTAAAGAAGGAATATTTAGTATTTTGAAAATAAAAATGTATTTAAAAATTATTTTATGTATAAATTTTTAATTATAGAAATAGATAATATATTATTTGAAATATTTTTTTAGAGATTTTTTTCTTCTTTTTTAGAGATTTCAGAAAAATATTTTTAGAAATCTTTTTGTATGTAAATTAGTATGTAGGAAGAAATACGAGGCATTTTGAAATTATGAGAAGAATATATTTAGAAATTAAGATTTTTTATATATAAAAATCAATTCTAAAATCTTAAAACACCTACCATTTATTTCTAAGAAAAATTTTAATATTTATAATTTTAGCATTATAATTAAAGCATTATAATTAAATAAATGAATAAATTTTAATTAATTGCATTTACTTTCTAAAATAAAATTAATGTATCTAAGATTTTCAAATGAAGATGTGTTTATTACATTGAGTTTTAACATTCTCATAATTTAACTGGAACGATAACATTCATATAGAATAATATGGGTATAATCATTTGTTTTGACTTTAATACCTAGTTTATCGAACTAAATACCTGATCTGTTAAGCTAACTACATGGTTTTGCATACTATATAGGTTGAAACAAAAATGAGAAACAGATCAGAATTATAAACGAAAAGAAAATTTTTGATATTTTTATTTAATGCAACTAATATTTCACATTTCTCATATAATTTCACATTTCTCATAATCTTTTTTCATTTTCTCATATAATTTATTTTGATATATTTATTATATTTATTTAGGTTTAAAAATTGAAAAATATTAGATAATTATTAACTAATTTGTATATTATTTTGTTAATAATAATTTTAAAAGTTCTTATTGCAATATCATCGACAAGTTGATTTTTTTGAGAACTACATTTACATATAATCAATTTCATATTTTCATTAATATTTTAATTTTTCTTTTTTTAACTTTAATTTCTTAGTTAATCATCTCAATGCAGTTATTTTAATTTCATTTAATTCATCTCAATTTTTTAATATTTATCTTAATGTTTATCATTTAATTGTCATTAAAATGTCTTATAATCTTGATATTTTCTCTTTCAACTTCTACCGTGAGAAGCTTCCATCTTGTTGAATTTATCTTCTTCGTTTCGTAAAATGTAATGTAAAAATTCAGTTTGAACTTACGTAAAAATTGACGAGTAGGAAAGATACGAACGAACACCATACAGTTTCATATTATACCCTCGGTGTTCGTGCGTAATTGGATTTGTTCATATTTGTTGATACTTCCGTTGCTAATTAATCGTGGATTTCCTTCGATCAACTCAATTCTCAGTTTTAAGTGAATCGCGGCTAATGACAACCATTTTGATCAATGTGAATCGAAAAAGATGAAGGAAAATGAAAATTTTATTTTGAAAAAAAAAATAATAATAATAATAAATTTTTACTATAAAAAAAATGTTTTTTACATTCAATATTTATTAAACAGAGTTTAAATAGAAATTATATACAAAAAATATGAAATGAGTTTAAAGGGAATTTTGGAATTTCTTCAAATAGCTCAGAAAATTCTCAAATGGGCTGAAATTTGAGAATTTTTGAATTTTCTAAAAAAAATGATATTGGTTAAAAATATTATATCTTCGAATTTGATATAAAATTGAAAATTTTCAGTTAAATATGCTATTAATTTCAGGAATATTTTATTCTTTCAATTCTTTCAATATCACGTGTTTTAACACGTGACATCTTCTTTTACAGGAATCTATCTTATTTATTTTTATAACAATTTTGTAATATTTTGATTACAATATATTGATATCATAAAAATAATTTTTTACATTAATAATAGCAAAATTTATTTATAATTAATATAAATTACAAGTAATTGATAATAATTAGTGAATATCTTGTTCTCTTCATCATTTGAAATTTGATAGATTATTCTTTTAAATGTTATTTCTATTTTTAATCTATGAATTTCTTTTCTTCTAATTTTCTAATATCTTTATTTTATTTATTAATTTTTTTTTTTATATATCACAAAAAGAAATAATGAAACAAATTTTCATATATATTTTCTTTTTCTTAGACAAAAATTTTCTTTAATTACACTATAGAATTTAATTATTTGAACATTAAAAATGATTATCGCTGGTTTTAATATTATTATAAGATAGATTGCACAAATTTATCGAAAATTGTATTGTACACAAGCTATGCGGAACGAAACGATTGATTTTTTTATTATTATAAAATTTTCTAATGTACTAGAATTGTTATGATTATTTAATACATATTTTTATTCTATTGACATAATTATTGGTATAAATTACTTGTTTATTGTTTTGAATAATAGTCAAACTATCCTTTTCAATATTTCTTTTTTATTACTGTCCATAATAATTGTTTCATGTAACCAATACAATATCAATAAATAAATATTTCTAAATGATGGAAATATTTGATAACATTATCGTTTAATATTGTAAAATAAAAGTAACAAAAGTCAGAATTAAAATTATAATTTGCAGACAAATTAGTAATAATGGTAGATATTAAGTTATTTGCTAAATTATATGATAGTATAAATCATATTACATTTATTTGTATGATCAAATAATTAATTGTAGAAAATGTAAATGCAAATTAAATTTATTTCAAGATTTATTTATGTTGTTGTTTGAAAGTTATAAAATTAATGCACGTT